AAGAGAAGCAAGGCAGCCACTGGCCACAGACTGACCACCCTTTCCTTGATCTACAGGGATATGCTGCTAAAAACATTTTGGGGTCTTGCACAGAAAGAAAAGTTTCCTTAGAGTTGGAAGGTATGACAGGCAAGAAAAACCACGAATGGAGTGAAATTGGAGAAGGAGAGACAAAGGAGACAAAGGAAGGATTCATTTTGAATGGGGCAGAGGAAAGAGGAAGTCAGAATTTAGACAGGTGAAGTAGAGAGGGAGGGTCTTCAGCCACAGAACCATATAAGGGAAACATAGTTCTCACGCCCCTGGCCCCCACCTCACCCCCCAGCAACTGAAATCCTTCCTCTGTCCATCTGTCCAGAAAGTTAAAAATATCCAAGCTGGGCACCTGGCCAAGCCCGGACATTTCCAAGAACCTGTTTACTGACCATTTGATTGACTTAGAGAGGTAGTTAGCAGCTCCATCACCTCAATGAAGAATGAGAATGGACCTTGCTTGACATCCCAGGACTCAAGGCACATGAGAGTCACAATCCTGGACCCTTGCTCTTTCTGTTCTCCTCTTCCCAGTCGCTTCTGTTGCGACTGACCGGAAGATGGAGATGACCAATCAACTGGGAGTCAAAAATTCCAGCCTTCAAAACCTGTTCATTCTTTTCTCCTTACAGAAGGCGCCCAGGAAAGAATACAGCAGGGTCAAGCCAAGGGAAAGGTCAAGACAAGACAGAAATAGCCTAAACAGGCTAAATTGGGCCTCAACAGAGGGCTCACCTCCACTAGTTTTTGTGCCACTCACTCTAGTCCATCTAAGGAAAAAAAACAAAATTGAATGGGATGCATTACCTTCAAATAAGGAGTCTGAGAGTTCTTTGTTGTGTCACATTGTTTGCGCAGCACTCTCTGTTCCTCAGTTTATGACTCTAAATGGTGGGAAGCTTTCCTCCGAAGTTGTATACTGAAAAGTTAAGAAAGCTCAGTTAATTTCCAGAAGGTGACAGGGTTAATCCAGAGGCTGGTGAAACATTCTCGGAGTATGAGAGAGAAAACTCTAGTATTCCCTGAGCTCTACCATGAGGTGCTGGGAGTGTGTAGAGGGCCTGTCCTGGTTTGGAGATGGGAGTCCCAACCTCTTCCCTACCACAATTAACTCCAGGCTGAGTCAGCTTCCATACATGGACTTCTTCTCATGCTGTTTTGTTCCCTTAACACGGGAAGGGAATCAAGAGGAGCAAAGAGAGAATGGCCTTACTTCTGCTAGGTCACAGAAAAAGAACAATTGTGGAGACATGCCTGGAACTGAACTAAAGTGGTAGTAGATACGCCTCTTCTTTTATTTTAGATAGCAAGCACTGGTTTGCCATTGTTCTAACACTTCACATTTATTTTTAAAACCCTCACAACAATCTTCTTTATTTCTTTTTTAAGATTTTATTTATTTATTCACGAGAGACACAGAGAGAGGCAGAGAGAGAAGCAGGCTTCCTGAGAGGAGCCTGATGTGGGATTCAACCCCAGGACCCCAGGATCAGGGCCTGAATGAAGGGCAGACACTGAACCACTGAGCCATCCAGGTACCCACAACAATCTTCTGAGATTTCAAGATATCAAACCATAGCTCTGAAAGCTTAAACAAGTGGCCCAAGCTTATACAGCTTGTTAAATGGTGGAATTAGGATTGGGGTTTAGATAGTTTGACTCCACACTGTATTATTTCTCCTTAATAGTATAGGAAGCCTGATCCCTAAACTTTTTCTAGGCTATAGAAAAGCCTGTTGGGCTGGGATCTGCAGCCCTGGACCTATAGGCACTCTGCAGGTTGGTTTGCAAGTTAGGAAATGGAGGTGAGGGCAGCCCTGGTGGTGCAGTGGTTTGGCGCCGCCTGCAGCCCAGGGCGTGATCCTGGAGACCCTGGATCGAGTCCCATGTCAGGCTCTTGGCGTGGAGCCTGCTTCTCCCCTGCCTGTGTCTCTGCCTCTCATTCTCTCTCTGTGTTTCTATGAATAAATAAAACCTTTAAAAAAAAGGAAATGGAGGTGAGTGAGGAGGGGTAAGAATAGAGAAGGAGACAAAAGTTTCTGCTCTTCCAGTCCAGAACTGTTGAAGTCAGGGGGCTTGGGACAGGGATTTCAGCCATTGGTCAGTAAATATTTTCCTGATCTACCTTACGTATTCCATAGTCTAGAGATATATAATCCAAGGAAAGAATGCTAGGAAGGGGTCTGTAGGCTGTTGAGAGAACCGGGCAAAAGATACTCCTTCACCCCTCTCTAGACCCTTCAGCTCCTATATGATTATTTTTGTTGACGAGGTGCTCGGACAGATCTCTCCACACTTCTCCCTCCTAGAGGCTCAGCCCAAATTACACCCTTGTGTTTTCAGTCTGTTCAGAGGTATCAAGGTAGCCAAGGACCCCGGTTGTGGAAGTACCTGCCTTTTCCTTCTTAATTTTACTTTCTCTAGCTCTTTTCTCCCATTAGTTCGTTTTCTTGCTGTCTTCTCTCAGGTCTTTGTATATCAGGTTGGACCTAATGAATAAATGATACTAAGAACTGGATCTCCTCTAACGGCTCTACATGTAGGTTTTGGTTCTTTAAAAATTAAAAGGCAGAGGCACCTGGGTGGCTCAGTGGTTGAGCATCTGTCTTTGCTTCAGGTCATGTGATCCTGGGGTCCTGGGACGAGTCCCACATCGGGCTCCCAGCAGGGAGCCTGCTTCTCCCTTTGCCTGTGTCTCTGCCTCTCTCTGTCTTTCATGAATAAATAAATAAAATCTTTGAAAAAAAATTAAAAAGCATATGAGAAGAGCACTGGAAAGAATGACCCCCAAATCTACCCGTTTAAGTAGCTGGGTCAGTACCCAGGGAAGTATACTTAAAGGAGCCTCTCTGCGAAAAATGTCCTGAGTTAAGGTAGAAGTTGTTTGTAGAAGGTAAAAGAAAGTCGGAGTGGAGCCTTTTGTGCTCTAAGGGAAGGATGAGTTTCCTCTGAGTGAATAGCTTCTTTCCTTCTTCATATTTTGCTACACTGCTCAAGATGGTTGTCACTAGTCACACATGGAGCTAATTAAATTTAAATTAATCCAACAAAAATTAAAATTCAGTTAATCAGTCACACCACCACATTCAGAGCTCAATTGCCACTCCATCATCACAGAAAGTTCTATTAGACAGTGCTGAGTTTGAGGCATTATGGTATCAGGAGAGGATGCATATGCTCTCTGGCTGTTAGAAAATCAGATCTCTAACAGAACTTAGGTGTAAGTTATCTACCTTCTCCCTGCTATCCTCTTCTCAGATCTTGTCCCATTAGCCAGGCTGTTTACAAGAACAGTCAGGCTTTCTCTCCATCTCTTCCTCCTGCCCTCTGGCCTGCTCTCGTCCTTGCCCCACCCCTCCAGTCCCTGGAAAACAAGCTGGGCAAAAAACTTTCCATCAACTTTGACCTAGTTTTCTGGTCAAATTCAGGGGAAAGGGGAGGAGCCACTAAACTCTTGAACAGGTAAGAAAAGGAGGCAGCTGAGGCATGAGTAGAGTTACCACGGCAACAGGGAGCTAGAGCCACATACCTTGGGAAAGAAAAAGAAGAAAAGAGAGAAGAGCTCCTGAGAATTAAAGACAGATGAACAAAGACTGAAGTAGGAAAGAATCTTTTCAATCTCACGTTGTGCTCAATTCACACTGATTTTATGAACTTTCAAGTTGGTCCGAGGACTGTGGGTTATTGTTAAGCTGATTTTATGAACTTTCGGGAGTCTGAGGTTTGGAATTAAAGCCAACCCCCAAATACCCAAATAAGGGCCAGGACTAGATCTGTCTACAAAAGTTTAAATAAGCCAGAAACCAGAAAGTACATTAACTACTCTGCAGTCTCAGGGTTGCTCATCCCCATCTCCCCCTTTAAGAATAATAAAAATCATTTCAGGTAGAGGGGCATTGTGGTAACCATTTTTTGTTATCACTCTATAAGGAATAGGAACTCCAGAAGCATGTCCTAAGGGATGATGGTGGGGTTAAATATTCAGCAAACATTTGCAGTTACGCTCATGTGTTTGATAGAACTGTAATAGGAACATAGGAGATGGTAGATGCCCTTCAACAAATACAAGTCTAGGGCAGCCCTGGTGGCTCAGCGGTTTAGCACTGCCTTCAGCCCAGGGCCTGATCCTGGGGTCTCAGGATCGAGTCCTGCATCAGGCTCCCTGCATGGAGCCTGCTTCTCCCTCTGCCTGTGTCTCTACCTCTGTCTCTCATAAATCAAATCTTTAAAAAACAAATACAAGTCTAGATCCTGAAGTCCTGAATTATCTTCTACCTTACTGTATACAAGCCAGGTTTAGCCAAGAGTAAACTCTACGATGAAACCAAACTATAAAATAGGGAGCCATAACCTTTCCTTTCAAATCCCATCACCAATGTTTGTGTATTTCAAGACCTCATTTTATTTTTCAGAAGATTTTTTTTTAAATTTTATTTATTCATGAGAAACAGAGAGGCAGAGGGAGAAGCAGGTTCCTCACAGGGAGCCCGATGCAAGATTCCATCCCTAGACCTTGGGATCAGGCCCTGAGCCACCCAGGAGTCCCTATTTTTCAAAAGATCTTATTTTTAAGTAACCCCTGCACCCAGCGTGGGGCTCAAATTCTCAATTCTGAGATCGAGTCACATGCTCTCCTGATTGAGCCAGCCAGGTGCCCCAAGAGTTCATCTTTTAAAAGTCATGCACTCCAAAATTGAAGGCGTTTCATCATGAGTATCTACAGATGCAGAGAACTAGCCTGTACCACTAGAATGTCCCACTATAGTTTAGTTCCTTGGAATTAAGATTAAATGTAGCTCAAATTCCTTCCCTTTTCACCCCAACCCCCACTCTTAACTATAGTCATTAGGGCCTTGTATCATAGGGAGTGTTTTCTCCACAGGGTATCCCAAACTGTGAAGTAGTTAGGGGCAGGCTCCTTCAGGCACACTTTCTAATAGCTTCAACACCATCTCACAAGAAAGCCATTTTTTTCATGAAAAAACTTTTATTTTTATTTTTTTACAAAGAATACCCCCCACTTGGGGTGAAAATATATCTGGTTAAGTACAAAATATAGTTTTTATCATACAAAAAGATATACAATTAAAAAACAAATGAACCACCTTCAGCCGACATACTTTCTCAGAAAAGGGTGGAGCTCAGTGCTCTGACACAGGACAGTGAACAAAGTGTTAAGGCTGAGGGTGACTGACCAAGTGCTAGGGGCTGCAGTGAGAGGGCTATCGACATCCCTACCTCCTAACATTGGGAAGAAAGGGAGCCCTGGGGGCTTTGGGTGAAGACACTTGCCCTCTTCGTTTCTCAAGGCAAAGTCTGGAAGCTCTGATCACAGTGCTGTGGGCATCAATCTAGAGTTCCTCCTTTGGTGTGGAGAAGTCACAGTGGGCAAGGCTGATAGCACCAACCCTTCTCAGAGAATTAGTGTCAGAATCACAGAATTCTGTACACTGGGACAAAGTCTCAGAAGTGAGGAATAACACTAAATTTTTTTGTCATTGTGCTTACCCCTAGAAACATAGTAGACCAGATTTAGCTTACATTTGATATAGGGAAAAAAAAAAACAACCACAACCCAAAATTTGACAGGAACTAAAGTGCTAAGAATGATGACCTCAGAATCCATTCCAAGGAGTCACATGAAAAGAAAAACACTCTCCCACATGAAAATGTTTGTCAACAGGAGAACACAGTGCAAAAGGCTCTAAAAACAGCTTTTAAGACCTTTGGTGGGGCATAGTTGTTACAACTGCTTTAAGCCAGATTAAAGCACATTCTAAGCAAAGACAATCTTAGAGCTGCTTCTCTTAAAGTCACATGGGAAGAAGCTCTCTCCAAAGTTCAAACCAAATCTGCTCTGAAAGGGTTTTTTTCCTCCCGTAAGTGTACGAAGGGCAACGATTTTGTCCTAAAAATTTGGCCATGATTTTTTTGTTTTCCTAGTTTGTCCTAAAAATTTGGCCATGATTTTTTTGTTTCCTAGTTTGCTAAATTGGCACCAACATTCAAGATATACAATCCCCTCCAAAAAACCTGGGGAAGACCACGTCAGGAGGCCACCAAGATTTGACAAAATTGGGATGGGCCGGAGTTTTTCTAGCGTTTTTAAACCCATCCAGCAAACACTCCCATATCACAACTTCACATCATCTCGCTGGCTGAGGATGAGTGTGCACCATCATTTAAGGTCCTGGAGATGGCCTGCTGAGCACCTCCTACACTGGGGAGTCAGAGGCTGGGGTGGACCCATACCCCAACTGTAGAGACTGTTCAGTCTCTGAGAAAGTAAGAGTCCAGGAAGAGAGGCAGAAAGAAACATGTTAAGTACAGCTGCTTCTTTTCCTTCCACAAGTTCACTGCACATTGTTGTTGAGGATGGAGGGATCCACCTGGGGTGGGGGGAAGAGAAACAAAAGAAACGATCATTTTAGTTTGGGTAAGAACTAAAACAACAAGCCAGTTTAGCAGTCCTTCCCATTCAACTTCTTGTAAGAGGCTTAGGACAATTTGTAAAATGGCAATGGTCACCTCTGTGTAAGTCGGTGGTGGCATGAACTTGAACTCAGGAGCATACATAAAAATAGGGCTGTCTTGGGAACCATCTGTGTCATCTAGTAGAGGAGTAGTGGGGCTCTCCAATCGGTGATCTTCAGGAATGATATCCATATAGCAAGGAGGAGCTAGAGAAAACATAGGCATAAGAAGTTTGGCCAAGAAATGCCTGACCGTCACAATTTCACAAACCCAAGCAGGCCAAAAAGGAAAAAAAAAAAACATTAGGTCTGGCTCACCTTCTGGGGTATCGGGGATGTTGAGATCTATCCAACTCATTTCAGAGCTGGTTCGACTGGCCATGCTCGATGTCCGACTGCTCAGACCTGATCTGCTACCGATTACCAGGGGCAGATCAAGGATGACCTTCTTGGAGCCAGGGACACTAACATAGATCTAGAAAGGAAAAATGACAGTTAGACTAGAGGTTTGGAGAAATGACTATTTTGACAGATGAACAACTTCTTGGACTCCATTCACTCACCAATAAGGAGTATTCAACTCGAAGGATGTTGCAGCCCAGGATAGAAGGCCTGATCTTTTGCACCCGAAGGCTCTTGCCACGCCACGATGCACAGGTTCCTGAAATGATGTGATTGCCTCTGACGGATGACAACTTCTGTGTCAGCACTTTGGTTTGACCATTGGCAAGGTAAGTGTGGCGGGCTACTATGGCAGCTTTGGGAACCACGATGCGCGAACATGTATTCTCAAAGTCAGCATGGATGGAAATTTCATCACCTAACAATGAAAAAGATGAAAACTTATTAGCCGATGCTTAATACAATTAAGGATTTCTACCCCTATACCCTGCCCTCACTCCCAAACCCACAGTTCCTGTTTTATTTTACCATTTTAATTAAGTTTTTACCTTCACAGAATCCTTTTCTGTCAATTCGGGCAGAGACAGACACTTGTCCATCAGGAATAAACATGCAGGAAACTTTCTTCTCCTTTTTAGCAGACACAGGAGCCTGTGTTAAATAGGGGTAAAAAGACATTTTGAGACTTTCTAGAGATCCTTCTCTTTTTCCTTTCTACTCCTTACCTAGAATAGGCAACTTTCCCTCCCACCTTGGTAATCCATTTAGGACTGGATCCCCTGAGGTACATCAGTCTAATGCCTAAGACACTTGACTTATGACTTACCATCCCCGAAACCCAAGAAAACAGAATTTTTAAATGAACCTCACCATTAAATCAGGAGTGTTGACATCCACTAAATCCATCACTTCAAAGAATTTCTTTGTCTCTTGAGTTGGCTGGCTGGGGCGATCAAGAAAAGCCTTCACCCAGTAGTCTACACACCCATATTTTCCTTTGAAAGATGTTCCCAAAGGCCTGTGTCAAGAAAAAAGAAGCAATCTAAAAATGTTCTCCAAGAACAATAGGTGATCAAAGGTGGCGAATTTTAGAGATAAAAAAGTCCAAAGATGCATTTAGTAGACACCTACCCCTGAGGAAGCTCAAAGCCGAACTTGTACTCATATTTGTTTCCAGGTCTCATGATCACCATCTCATTCTCACCTGAGGAGAAAGAAGAAAGAATAGCCCATCAGGTTTCTTGTTTCACTTCAAATGCATCTGTGTGATAAGGAATTCCTGGGCAGCATGCAAGTCTATTGCAGGTCCCCTATTTTCACCCCCTTCTGTTCTTGAGAGATCCTGATGCATTTCGTTGGGCAGAAAGTTTCAAAGCCTTGCAATGACGAAAGGCTCAACCAGGGCAGTGAAGCTACTACCCTCTCAAACAGGAAACAAGCGAAGAATATGCAACTTATGCACACAGAAAACCTTTAAATAGTTAAGGCAGCATACCTCAGGATCACCTTCAGAACAGAACACTGTAAGAAACTGTACAAATCACCCCCCCCCTTTTTTTAGGAGTCTGCAAGTTAAAACTAAAAAAGTAAACAACATACAAGTCAAGCTGCTCAACCTGAGCAACTTGAAATACTCAGCATAAGCTGCAAGCATTCGTTTCAACTCTATTCTCAAATCAGCTTTCACCCTCCCGACAAACAACGGGGCCACTCACCTGTTGGCTGGTCTTCCAGGAGAAGCGTGTCTTCGAAGCGCAGGTATTCAGAGGTCTGTTTGCACTGTTGGGATCCCTGCATCCACAGGACTTTGGCCACTCCGCACGCCAGGATCCTGACAGCTTTAACTCGAGTCACTTCGCACACCTCCACGACCACCCGGCCAGCCACTTTCTCCCCGCTGCCATACACCTTTTCAGGGTCGTTAAAGACCACCTCAAAAGACTTGATCTTCTTGAACATCACCATGATTGGCTGGGCTGCCTTGACAGTTATAAATGGGGGGAGAGAAAAAACAAAACCCCAAATCCAAAAATGCTCTGCAAAAAATTATTTCACTCTTCAACTCTCCGCTAAGATTTCAAAAAGATTTTGGAAAAATGTAAGCTGTGGGTGATGCCAAAGGATCCCCAGGAAAAAAAAATATCAGCTTTCTGTTCTTTTCTCCGACAGCTGGAGGAGCGCTCCGACTCTAGGAGAGACCCAACAGCCCACCGGGCCAGAGGAGACGGAAGGAGAGTTTCGGTGAGCAGCCGGAAACTGCTTTATATAGTCGCCCGGGCTCGCCCGGCCACGCGAGCGCTAGCCCTGAGGCTCGTGCTGCCCTCGTGCACAGCCCTCCCATTGGCTGCCCGCCCCTTGTTTACCAGGAGCCCAACCAATCAGCGAGGCCGCAGCGGCGCGTGGACACGGTGTGCTCCTGGCGGGGAAAATGGTTGTTGTGCACGGCCGCGTCGCCGGGAGGAGGGAGCGGAGGGGCTGCGGGGCCGCCTCCCTCCGCCCCGAGGACGCCCAGAGGAAGCCCGGAGGGAGCGGGCCTTCGTGGACCCTAGAATTTATCACGGGGGGTGGCCGTCGGGGGCGGGTGCAGATGCTTCTGGGGTGGGAGCAGCGTTTGAAGCGAAAAGAAAATGTGCTTATGTGGGAATTTCGTGCCTTGCCTTAGCCAGTGCAATAAATTTAGAGGCGACCGTTTATTTCCGGCTCACAAGTCGCAAGTCCGGTGAAAAATAATCCCATAACTCCAAGAATACTTCAGAATTGGGGCAGAGGCCAGGGAGCTTTGGTGTGACTGTTCAGGAAGAGCCCCTTTGTCTTTCTCTTGCCCCCCGGGTCTCTATCAAAACCCCTAAAAACTGTGACAGAAAGGAGAACTTGTCACAAATTGTGAAGCTCTTTTCAGTCGTCGGTGGGCAGCGGTCCGGGGCACTGCTCGGCTGTCGCGCTCCCTTTCCGGCGCCCCAGAACCTGGAAGCCCCTGTACCCTCTCGCTCCGTTCGCTCTGTTCTCCCTGGGACGGAATCAGGGCGTGTTCACATCCTGTTCCTTTCCTCCTCATCTCTTCAGTTTCTACCTGCAAAGTTGGGGAACACTTTGTTTCTGTTCCCCCAGTTACCAATATATTACTCTTTAGTAAGGTATGTACTTAAAACAAGATGTTTTCCTCGTTTCACTTTCCTCCTCAGCTGCTTGCACTCTTTCTTGTCTTCATACCCTCTGCAACTCACCAAATCAGAGGTGCATCTCTAAATCCGTAGCCCACACTCCTCACAGCCCAGTTAAAAGTTCTCTTGTTTATATGATCAAAGTGTCAGTAAAGAGATGGCTGCATTCCTGTTTGAAGGAAGAGTTTCCGTATCTTTTAAAAGTGTTTTTCTAGGCCCTTTATTTTAGAACTCCCAGTGAGGAAAGAAGACAAAAGGATCACTGTATTCAAGCTAAAAGAGACCCTGACTGATCACTCTTTATTGTCATTTGTCAGATCCCCCCTCCCTCCAACCTGGCACGAGATGCCTTAAGGGCCTGACTCCTGAGAAATTATTCATAAATGCAAAAACAAACAAACAAACAAACAAACTTGCAGAGATAAAGGGATTCCCACAGCACACGTGGACGCACTTTTTTTTTTTTTTTTTTTTTTTTTTTATTCTTGGGCCTCTCCTGTCTGTGTTGAAGTATCAGGAGATTTTTACCTCATTTTTTTTGTGTGTGTGCTGGCAAGAGGAAGACGGTGTTTCCAAGATTGAGATGGGGAAGTAAATAAGACGTATGTGGGTGTGCAGAACTCTTATTCTCAGCAAAGAATGCTATCCATTGCAATTAAGGATCCTTCTTCCTTCTTCATGCACCATAACTGGGTTGACACCCTAAGGCTAACAAGTTCCAACTCAGCACCGCTATTAAGCAAGCCCAAGACTCAGGCATCAAAACTCAGTTGGAAAACACACACACACCATCCACCACCACCCCACCCCCGGGAACAAAAAGGGGAACATGTTGATCCTTAGGATGTGAGTTTGAGCTGGCACTGTTTTAGAAACCCAGTCAACAAGACCTGATTTGTTTTTCAGTCAATCGACAATATTGATTGAATTATCAGGAGCAGGCAGGGTAGGACTCTCACCAAAGTAGTTTTAAAAACTCAAAATTGTGGCTTCTGAGAGAACTTTCAATTTGATGGCTATGAAAGTGTACATAAATATGAAACATCAAAATGTTTACAAAGAATTAAATGAGTCAGGGGCGCCTGGCTGGCTCCCTTCGTGGACTCTGTGACTGTTGATTAGGGGTTATAAATTTGAGCCTCGAACTGGGTATAGAGACTATGTAAAAATAAAATCTTAGAAAAAGAGAGATGAATCAATATTGTTAAACTGTGGGATATGTAGCTACATAGATTTTGAGGGGAAAGGAGGAGAGGTGGATAAAAATAGATCAGGGTGGTTGGTGTTGATTCTGGACATCTTAGGGAAAAGGGAATGCTGATATTTATTTGAGCACATCTATGAAGGGCTGAATTTTTTGAGCTTTTAAAAGTCAAGCAATTCTTACTATAAATTTCTCTTTGGGATCAGGGTTTTTCTTTCTTTTCCATTTTGCAGAACTCAGTACAGACCACTTGTTTGCTCTGTGCTATGTCTGGGTTCCCTTAAATGAGAGAAAACTATTTAGCTTTGGCAGTAAGCAGCTGCCTACCAGGCCCCTGGCCAACGCATGTTCTGAAACGAAGCCCTCTTGGACAGAGTTGTTTATGACCTTTCACCTTATAACCCGGTATTCCGATAAAAAAAATTTTGCTCCCTGACTCTTCTTTTTCAGTTCCTGAGTCAAAGGAAGAAAAAAAATCTTGTAAGTTCCTGTCCTGCGAACAGGGTACAAGCACATGTGAGGTGTGGGGGTGGGAGTGAGGAGGGCAGATCCAGGAAGAAGAGCAAGTCCAGGAGTTTTGCAAGTGAGATCATCTCTACCTGGGTCTTCCCCACCCTCTTCTACCTCTCTGCCAATAAAAAACCAAATTGATAGTTGTTTGTTTTACTGGAGTTGGTTGAGTAAAGTCAAAGCTTTCAGAGAGAAGTGTCTTCTCTATTCTGTTGCCAGTGAGAGTCAGAGCTGGTTGCAGTTCTCTTTTCCTTAACTTCTGGCCTGAGGAACATTTAGAACTCTAGAGACTCATAGTTCCTAATGCAAAACAAACCCCTTTGTCACCTCCACCTGTGGACTTCCCTTCCCTAACCTATCTGGTTTTCCCATTTTTCCCCTAGGCAATGTTAGTTTGGCGACAAATAAAGGTGGAAAGGAAATGTGGAATTCCAGGCTGCTTAACTGTGTGCACCTCCAAGTCGTTAATAAGGTTACATTAATAATTGTATAGCATCGTAGAGTTCAAAGTGACTTTTTTATCATTTTTTGAGCACTAAAATGGATCAGGTCCTTAACATAACTATTTCAATGACATCTTATTTATAAATGAATCTGTCATCCTCCTACAGAAAGGATTTAAGGTGAGATTATTTCATTGACTTCTCACACTAACTCTGTGACTCAGGGTTGATTAAGTCAGGCTCAGAGGGTTAAGTAATTTGCCTGAGGTCACAGATTTTGTAAAGAGAGCAAGATCTGGAACCCAAGTTTGTCTGGTCTAAAGTACGAACTTTTTCTTTAAGATTTTTATTTATTTATTCCTGAGAGACGGAGACACAGGCAGAGGGAGAAGCAGGCTCCATGCAGGGAGCCCGACGCGGGACTCGATCCCCGGACTCCAGGACTCCAGGACTCCAGGGCTCCAGGACCGTGCCACGGGCCAAAGGCAGGCGCTAATCCGTCGAGCCACCCAGGGATCCCCACCCCGAACTCCTTCTAATGCGCTATCCTGCCTCTCAGTACTTCAACACATTCTATCTTACTTGATCCTTGCTGTAAAGGATTCAGGGCAAGACTCATAATATCTTAGAGTCAAAGTGGACTCCAGCAGTCTTCAAACAACAACACCCCCCCCCCCCCCCCCCCCCGCCACACACACACATGCCCTAGGACAAACAGCTAGTACCTGGTGGAGCCATTCTCCAAACCCAGGATTCTTAACACTTAACTTAGAACTCTTGTCTCTAGGATGCTTTCTGGGAATTCTTGTGTTTTTTCATTTAGTTTAAATTATTAAAAATACCTTATCTGGGGATGCCTCGGTGGCTCAGCGGTTGAGCATCTGCCTTTGGCTCAGGGCGTGATCCCGGAGTCCCTGGATCCAGTCCCATATCAGGCTCCCTGCATGGAGCCTGCTTCTCCCTCTGCCTGTGTCTCTGCCTCTCTCTCTCATAAATAAATAAAATCTTTTAAAAACAATACCTTATCTGGAAGCCCACATTTCATGTTTATTGGAGTTTATTTTTCTACTATGTGGAAGAAAGAATGGACATCTAGGAGTTGCCCAACTTCAGGGAAAGATGGGGAAAAGGAGGTTAATTTATTCAAGATTGCTGTAGACTCATTTAAGATACTTCTTAAAGTTGATTTATTATATCAAAAACGTATTTCCCTTCTCGTGCTATCACTCCTCTGTTTTCTCTCCTTTACTATTAAAACTTTTTAAAGATTTTATTTATTTATTTATTTATTTATTTATTTATTTATTTATTTATTTATGAGAGACACACAGAGAGAGGCAGAGACATAGGCAGAGGGAGAAGCAGGCTCTCCTAGGGAGCCCAATGTGGGACTCTATCCCAGACCCTGGGATCATGACCTGAGCCAAAGGCAAACGCTCAATCACTGAGTCACCTGGGTGCCCCTACTATTAAATTTCTTAAGAGATAACTTATACCAGCTTTCTGCATTGATTAAATTTGTCCCTTTGTAGTCTGACTTCTGCCTCCACTAAAATAGTTTTCTTCAAGGTTTCCAGAAGAAACCAGAGTGGTTTTTTTTGGCCTTATTCCCCTTGGCTCCTATATAATTTGCAAACTGCCATCTTTTTAAAATTTAGACATTCATCTGGACTTTTGGACTTTCTCCTTTTCCAGCAATTTCTTTTTTTCTCTGTTCCCGAGACCTTTTCTCGAGGACTTGTCCTCGGCCCTCTCCTTTTCTTCCTTTAAGCTTTGCTCTTCAGTTTGCCCATCTGTACATCATTTGTGTAAAATTTATACTTTACCTTTAGCCTGTTTCCATAGTTCCAGGTGGCATCTCAAATTCAACTTGTCCATATAGAATTCATAATCTTCCCTGTGTGCTCAAAATCAGTCCTTCCCTT